ACAAATAAGTCAATATCTGGGCAGGTCACTCCAGTTTTACAGGGTTGTTTTGCAGAACTTTCTGTGGCAGCAGTGCACACATTTTCACAGAAGGTCCATTAAAGATTCCTCCGGCCTGCCCCGTTTAGGACATCTCATTTTAAATAAAGTACAAACATGTGAACAAGAGCCTTTGGTTTTATTTTCTCAAGTCGCAAACTGATGTCCAGACAAGGAGCACCATGGCCTGCCCTAGGGGTTATTTGCAAACCCCTGCAAATAGTGTACACTTGTTACTTTTAACAGCCTAATGGAATTTTACACAATATTTCATTTATGTTTTACCTGACCTTACTAATGTATTTGTAGATTTGTTGAAGAGCTGAAAAGCTACAACGTAGAAAGACCCCTTGCAGGACATTGTAACCACCACTACATTTTTTACATTATGCTGCAGCTGCTAGATAACTCATTTTAGAGTTGTACATGTGAGCTGCCTAAAGAAAAACCTGTCATATTTTAATGACTTTTAACTATGCTCAACATACAAGCATATGCAGCTCTGAAAAAAATCTTAAAAGAGATAATGTTTATTCCGCATCTGTTTTGTTAGTTAAAGGCTCACTACAGTCCAGACCGAGGAGTCTTTTTCTTCTTTAATTATTTAAAGTTATTTAAAATGGGAACTGTTACGTACTTAAAGATTTTAGGTTTTAGGGATTATTGTGACCACACCATATTGTTTGTAATAGGAACTTTTTCCCACCTCAAAAGAATCACCACTTGCCAGTAGCTAAAAATGTTTAGCAATACATTTTTTTTATTTTAAGTGTCAGTTACTTGGTATTTGTACTTTAGTCTTTGTACACAAGTAGTTTGTATTTATTAAGCAAAATGTATTGCTTAAATAAATCCTTTAATTGCAAAGAGTACTATTTTCACATGGTGGAGCTGAGAGTACTATTTCAGTTATCTGTTCTCCTGGAGAGCTACAAGGTCATCTGGCTTTCATTCTGCCTAAGCTCCTAATTACATAATTGAATAAATTATTGACTTAATTGGTCTTAATTACCACTGTTTCTAATTCTTTTGTTAAGCATTTGAGTACTCCATAAAACAAATCAGAGAAGTGGTTTTCCAGGCTCAGCAGTGAAGTTTCCTGGTCAGTTACCTTTTCAGGGTAAATATTCTTTGGAGCATCAATATCCCACTTGCCTATCTAGTGATCTAGAGGGAGTTTTACCAGCTACAATATGTTGCATGAATATGCAATAAGATAAGGTAAGATCCCTGCAGATGATGGCAGAGGATGATCTGCTTTGATCAACTGAGATAGAATTTTTCTCCCACTACCTTACCACTGCTTGTACCTGTGACTCCAGTCAGATTTGGGCAGAGTCCATCCAAACTGAAACATGTTCTCATGGGTATAATAGATCAGCAACATTTATCAGTGTTTGATAAAAAGGTATAACTGGCACAAGTTACTAAACCATCTCTTGGGTAGTGGAAAATAATTGAAGACATTAATCATTAATCATTTTTTCTGCTTTCATTTTAATTAGACTTCCTTCACCATATGTATCCACGTACAGAAAAGAGACAGTTGTAAAGCTAAAAGAATTAGATTAAATAACAGTTAATTAGCATGATGTGGGGGGGACCTATTGAATCTCAAGAACAGTGGGAGATATGGCTGAGGTTCTCTTCAATTCTTAGTGCAGGACATGACAGTACTCATGAAGAGGAAAATCACAAGACAGTGATCTAAAGATTTTTTTTTTTCTTGGCCTACCAAACCAGCACTTCTTCTGCCAGGACTTAACAATATTGAGTGCTTTGTCAATGAAGTTGACTAGATGGAAAAACTGTGAAAGCTTCTTGTGCAATTCAAATGCCCACATTGACAAGGAAGTGGACATGTAGTTGCTGAACACTGTCTTTTCCTCTTTTCAGCTGTCTGGCAAACTCAATTTAAAGGCCTCTGTTTATTCCGTAAAAACTGGCACCTGTTAGAATCTTGTAGTTCTAATTCCACTGCTAACAAAACTTTGGTAATTAGACCGTAACTGATACAATTGTATTGGAAGGCCTATGGAATGACTAAGCCTAGAAAGTGACAGTAAGCATGCTCAATGCTAAATAAACAAATTAGATCCAAACTTTGGGAAGCTTGATTTTTCATTCAAGATCAATATCATTCATTGCTTTGATGCGATTGAACGAATGAGTGGATTTCAAGGTGTTTTGGGGAGAGGGTGTCCTTTGAGATATACATGTAAGCTGCTGAATTTAAGAACTTCATTTTTTAAAAAATGGAAGATTTTCAAGTGTTCTGTCCCAGGAAATCATTATCACTACTATGGCCTTGTGATTTGATTTTGTGAACAGCTAACAATTAAGTAAACATCATATTTATGCAAATAAGTAAAAAATTCCCATGGGCATTAAAAAGTTATTATTCCAAATTTTAAAGAAAAAAATTATAATGGGTGAACAGCCTTAGATTTAAGAAATTGTTTAACTCTTCCATTAAATACAAATGAGAGCTGTATCCATGTTGTTCAATGCTGCTGCATTTGAATCTAAGGGTTATGATGAAACTCACTCCTTGGACAAAGTTATAAAGGTGAAGTATGTGGAAGCCTATGATAAACATAGAATGCTGTGATATTTTAAAAAGTGTATTTTAAATTACACTTGTATTTTACATGTTAATTTACAAGTAAATTACAAGTTATCAAGTTGTTATTTACAAGTGCATTTTAAATTACAGGTGTGATATCACCTCTCTAGGTTTCCAGGGGGGCAATATCACCTCTTTAACATGTTAAGTGCCACTGAGTTATACAATAAATGCAATACATAGGAACATCAGAAAAAAATGTTCCAATGAGAGGCCAGAAAATGCCTTTGCTAGGATCATGGTATTGTTTACTTGACCTTGTGCCATTGTAATCCTTGCATTGTGTGGTCTCGCATTGTCCTGCTGGAAATTGACACTTCCAAACTACAGAAATGGAAAAACTGTTGGCTTTATCAATGTATCACTGAGCAGTAAAGTTGGCTTTAGCTTGAATCAAAGACATTCTGGTTTTAAAGCCTGTTTAGCACAAGACAACTGTTAGCCTAACGCTCAGTATGACATTGCCACTCCCATTAGCTTCCACAAGGCCTTCTTGAAGTAGCATAAATCTGGGAAGAAAAGACACCACAACTTGCCCTGCTACCTCTATCCTCTGGCAGCAGAAGATGGCAAGCTCATGTCATTCTACTGATGTATAGTTTATTTCTTCCTAAACCTTCCCTCATTTCTGGCACTGCTGTCTGAAAATGAAGATGGATCAGTTCCCTGGTTTTCCTGGACTTGTCTGCAAGTCTGTTAAAGCAAACTGATATTTTCACAGGTGATGCTCAATCTTGCAGTTAGCCGCCCAGTGATCTTCATTATAAAGTTGGGTTTGACCATATTGTATGCTGTTCTTGTATTCATTCAAATTGCATCTTTTTGAATGGCTATCTGTAAGGATCCTTAACTCACATTGGCAATTTCAACTCGCATTAAATACTAAACACAAAGCACCTTGTGTTTATCGGAAACAAAATGACTTGGGTTCAGTGTTTTGTTCTCTAAAGGCACAATGCTGCTCAAATCAACAAATTGTTTCTACCTGCTCAGTATTTAAAGTTGTAAACAGCATTAAGACTTTACCTAGTAAGCTATTGTTGCAGAATACATAATAATCGTTTAAATTGTAATGTACATCAGTATAAATATGCACATATTGTATACAGTGAAGTGTTTGTGTATCTACTGCTGTATAAGTATAGTATATTTAAACACAATATATTAATCCTCCCCTAACAGTTTGTACTTCACCTGACTGTACAGTTATCAAGGGAAATTATTTCAAAGATCTATACAGAGTCGAGCCTGTTATAGGACAGTTAAAATGAGGCAATACATATGCAAGATTAAACAGTGTAAAATAAACAATCAATGGAGAGTTCCAATTACCCAAGGCAGTGGTTGATTTAATCACATGGCTCCTCTGTCTTGGCTTTGAACAGCAGTCATCAAAAACACATAAACGTAAGCTAATACATAATGAGCAAATGATCCAAGATTCTCATCTCAAACCCATGAAATCCAAGTCTAAAATCTAATCTACCCTTATCAGCCATGTTTCTTTCCATATTAGGCTGTCACACAACACAGCACGTAAATGATACTGTGGCTGTCTTATCTGTATGAACATCCAGGCCATTATAAATATTTGAATGGGAAGATTTAAAGCCAGCACTGCCAGGTTTTTAAATAAGCCCTCCTCCCTCCCTAGCTTCAGTCCATGTCTGTTCATTCAAAGCTTTGCCAAAAATGGTTTCTTCCTGTTTTATTTTGTGTGTGTGTGCAGAGAGAACCATTGGACTCAAGACGCTTCTACTGCCAGTTTATTAAAATCCATTCACATCGTTTACAGCAGCATTACAAAAACAAGAGGAAATGTAATAAACAATGATTGCTCACAGGAATTCGGAACAATTATTCTATTTGATTTCTTTAAGGCTTACTAGGCTAGCTCTTAAACTAAGAAAAGGCTATTTTCGGATATAATTATGAATTTGTCTGACAGCTTCATCCAAAGCTACTTACCCAGTTACAAATTTAGCTGTGCATGTTAATTAGCGATACTACTGTAGAGCCCTGTGCTTCTGTTATTACAAGCTATTTGGCGGAAAACAAATATCTGTAGTGCTTTTGCGGCAGGGTAGGAATTGATAGTTTTTACATGTACTTTGAGTCTCAAAATGCCTTTTCCAGCATTGCATTAGGCTAGTTCGTTTTAGAATCGGCTGGAATGTGACATTTTTCTGCACATGCGTATTTTCATATTTATTTTTAAAGGATACGCATGCATTACGATTGATTGTTAGCTTGTGCGTCCTTGATAGTGAATTCATCTAGCCACAACCGGCGACCGGCAGGACTGGAACAACAACAACAACAAAAAAAAAAAACCAAGCACATTACCGACAGGGGGCGCCCTCTGACACATGGCTATGGCAGTCGAGATGCTGGTACTAGGGAGGGAAGTGATGTCAGACGTTTTAAACAAGGAAGACGGCGGGCTAGGTCTTTGCTGTAAACACGCATTTTTTTCCTGATGGCACGGATCATTTGGCCGTAAAAATGATAAACGATAATTGATTTTAATATATTTATTTTGTTTTATGAGTTGGATTTAAAAAAAAACAATATCGCCTTGTTTTTTAAGTGAGTTGTTTACATTTTTTCCGAGCGTGTGGATTCGTAGCTACGAGGCGAGTCTTTGCAATGTAGATGCCTGTGTTGCAGGAGGCGCATAAGGAAATTTCTAGATAATTTATCTTGGTCTTAGCAGCAACTAAACAAACACCATTTGCCCAGTCTGTTTATTAATCTAGAATTGTTTTCTATAGCTGTCGTTTGTTTCTCTGAAATGTTATATTTGGACAATCGTTTGTAGGGATCCGGTTTTATTTTCACGCATGATTAAGTGTCCATTGAGAATGAGTTCTGCCTCTCATTCTCAGTTTGCACGTTTCGAATGCTAAATGCACCGATTAGCTACACAAGTAACTCTTCAATATGTGAGGTTGATATCAAACATAGGAAAGGTTGTAACTTGGTGCAAAATATACCATCGCCCCTTTTCATTTTTAGTGTTTTGTTTTTTAAGCACAATTATCTATCAGATTACTAGGCAGTTTTGCAGACACGTCGATATAGTCATCTTCTCCTGAATTACCTGCAGCGGATTTCGTCAGAGGCATTGCAAGGAGAAGTACAGAAAGCTAATCTTTATTTTATATAGCGCCTTTTGTGATATTTGTCATCTCAAGTCACCTGAAATTCCCATGACATGCATTGGAAATAATAACTCTGCCTTTTTGCTTTTTTAACAATGAATACGTATCTTGTACGTGTTGTCTAGGAAGATGCATGAAGATGCATGATGGTGTATTTGAGTACAAAAAAAGAGAAATGCGTACATCTGAACTTGGGAGTGAGATTCACTTTTCATGGAAGGGCACCAGTCCATCTAGTGTATAACATTAATGCTAATATTAGTATTTGGATAATTATTGAGTAGGGTTTTAGATTTCATTTCATTCCAAAAAAAGACTTCAGAGAGTTTTTGTGGTGTGCAGTATGTTACAGTGCTTTAAGCCATGTAAGTGCTGTGCTGTGTAGCTGCAAAGTGCCGAGTATTGTAATTCAGAGACTGGACACCAGAAATACTTCCCACCCTCCCCATAATCAAGCTCTTTAAATATATAACATCTAAGCACAGGTTTGTAATTCTGTGAATTCAGGTGAAAAGCTTCAGGTAAAGGAAACTAATGTAAATGAGGATGTCTTTACACTGGAGAAATTGATCAAAGCAGAGGAGCAAGTCAGCCATTTGTGTGTTTGTTCGCAGTTTGGGGGGTGTGAAATGGATGCCAATAAAATAATTGAAGAGGCCCTGTACGAGTTCATCCAGTCCTACATCCCCAGTGCTGACCTGAGGTAAGCATTGCGCTCTGGGATCTTCACAGACTTTTCCAGCATTACTAGTATTCCAGACCAAAGTATGTAGCAGTAGTATGTCCTGACTGTGGCTGAGTACTGTACTGTGTAATCTTAATTAACTTCTAAAGCTGAAAATGTTACTTTGTCAGCTAGCACAACAGGAAAAACTGTGCTTCAGGTGCGCTGTTGGTTTAGTCTGACAGAATGTCTCGAACTCAGGCTTTCCTTTTTTTGCCTCCCGTCATCCTCAGCACGCTGGATGATGTCATTCTCTCCTACATCACGGGGGTCCTGGAAGACCTGGGCTCTCAGGAGAGTGTGGAGGAGAACTTCGACGTGGAGGTCTTTGTGGAAATGCTGGAGGCGTACATTCCTGGCTTTGCCGAGGTTGACAGGTAGGGGGAGCCCTAGAGACCGTTCTCTGTCGGCTCTGCAGTTGATCTGAAAACCGAAACTTTGTCATCTTTAAATTTGAACATGTTGTTGTGCATGCAGTTGTGATGATGTGTTACATCTAGCTAAGCTCTGCCAAGACTTAATACAGTACAGTTAATTCAGTAATGCATCATACAGCCATTGAAAGGACACTGATTCTCCATTTGTAGTACATCACACATGCTTGCTGTTAGGAGAAAAGTTTGGCAAACTGTCTTTTAGTGACTCAAGAACAGAACAACAGTCTGTTTATGATCTTGTTTTGCTTTCTAAAAATGGCTTAAGGCAGAGAGTGACCCGTTTCCTCACAGTTTCTTCTCTGAGATGTATTGGAATGGCCTCAGAAAGTGTAATATGCAGCCTTTGTGGTCATTTGCTTGTTTTCTACAAATGTGGGACCTGCAGCTTTGGCTTTTTCAATCCCTGCTGTTAATTCTCTTCACTGGTAATCATTTCGACTGGTGAATGTAGACTTTCACATGCAGCATCCTGCATTACACTGTGAATATGCTGGAAGTACCATTTAACACCAAGAACAGAAGGCACTTCTTCACGCAGTTAAGGGTTGTGGGAGGATGGAATAAGCTATATACAGTGTTCTTTCAAGAAATGGCTGGACGAGGTCCTTAGATAACTACTACCAGGCAGGCATCCCACGATTAATGGCCTTCTCCCATTCTCTTAACTCTTCTTATTCACTGCTGCCAGGCATAAGGAGTTTAGAAGGGAAGCCCTTAAGCCCAACTTGCTTGTGTGGTCGCTCATAGTAGACTGGACCACGAACTTCATCCGTCCATTCCTAGAAGTATACCGGCCTAGAGCGTTCATCTCTTTGTTTCTACTTCTGCTTCTCTTGGCGTTCATGTTGAAGCTGGTCTGGAAGCAGGGTTTACAGAAGAGTCAAAAGAAGCAGACATTCTCACCTTGCGAAGCAGAAAGAAAAACAGCAGGTCCAAAGAGCCACACCAACACGGCTCCGGCCCTGAACGTCGTGTCTGCGAACCCAGTGTTGTGAGACAAAGTAACCTTGGCCTCAGCTGTCAATGAGCACAGCTGGAGCTCCAGACCTGCAGGGTCTTGAGTTTTAGGGTTCATACTGCTTCCCAGAAATCAATCAGGCAGCATGCCAACTCATTTTTGACAATAAAGGTGAATATTATTATCCAGTTAACATTAGCATATTTCCCCCTCATTCTTTCTGTAGTGTGAAAGTCTGTGAGATGATGTTTAGCCTGGCAACACGTCTAGCTACAGCCCGGAACCAAGGTATTGAACTGTTTTATTGTTTAGCTGTTAATGAACTGTTGAGAATTCCCACTGAACATTAAAACCACAGTCCTTTTACATATGTTATGCAGTTCCGGACAATTACATTAGCACCTTTTAAAGGTGAAAATACAGCTATATATTTTCTTGGGTACATGTTACAACATATTTTTTCATCAAAATGATGGGAGCTATAATTAAAAGAAGTAAATTCATAAAGCAAAGTGTAAGTGTATGTGTTGTTTCAAAGCCAATTTGTAAATACAATTACTTTGCAGTTTTGTTAAGGAGACTTTAATGCTTTCTTAAAGCTAATTAAATGGTGCTGGTAAAAGGTTCTGCTGAATTATGCAGTATCTACTAAAGTGGAGACTAAAAGCTGTACACTTTAGGATTTTTGTAATGATTGAAACCCCGGCTTTAATAATTTCAAGGTGAAAACATGGTACATTAAGTACATAATCAAGGGGTGTAGTCTGTTAAGCATGCCACAAAATGCATCTTAAATTCTGCTGTAGTAAAACTGAGACTGGGAGTCATTAAGGATGTGCTCTGTGGTTTAAAATCTGAGCAGTGTTATAAATAAATGCAGTGCTCTTCAAAACAACTTGAAAAGCCGCACGGAGTTCTCATCTTGCTTTCCGTGGAAGGAATGGTAATTTTTTTTAAAAAAAGGAATGGAATTTGTGTAATTGATCCTTTTGTATATTTTTTTCTGTGTGTATTTTCCTTGCCATGAAAAAGCTAACAGCCCCCCAAAGACTCCAGGAGGGGCTTCATCATCTCCAGACAGCCCTTGCAGGAAAGAGACAGCTTCGAGCAGCGAACACTACTTCTCAGCACCGGCAGAGGGCGCTACAGCCACGGTATCTCTTTATTTTTTCAGATTAACTACCATTAAATACTGAAAAGAAAACACAAAAAAAACAAAAGAATTTACACCTGGATAAAATCAAAACTTCCATGTGCTGGACTACAGAAAAATACAGACAACTAGCTAGTGGATCTAAAACGTCCCTTAAGTCCTTAAAGTATCTAAGTAGTCCAAACGTGAAGACGCAAACCTGTGCAGCAGCGGATGCAGTTTTGTACTCTTTGGCGTTCAGGATTCCATGAACGACGGGGACAGCCAAGTGCGCCTCCTTGTGGAGATGTTCCCAAAGTGCAGCGTGACCGAAGCCAGGAGCGCCCTGTCCATCGCCAAGTGGGACATGGAAGAGGCTGTCCGGCTCATCGTAGAGGGCGACGTGCAGCTCAGCCAGACTCCTCCTCTCAAGGTAAAGCAGGTACAGAGGCCACATCTTCAACAGCTCCTCCCATTTGGCATTCAACGTGTTTTTAAAAACAAAACTCTGAAAGCAAATCCCCCCTTTTCACTCTTCTGCTGCGTATGATTAAGTGCATGAAGACCGAAATCTCCTTCTGTAATTTTTATAAAACATACCTTTGTCCTTTGCTAATTTTTAGAAATTCACTCTCCTTTTGTTCTTTACTGAAGTTTTGTCATGGCTGAGCAAAACCCTTTCTAAGCACATTACTTTTTTTCAGCTTGCCTTGTGAATGTAATGATCATCATTATAAGCCGGTGATCTCATTATTGTTTAAGATGTTTCAAGCATAAATTAGATGCATTGTTTCTCTGCAGTGGGAAGTTTTTAAAATAATTAGTAATTTGTGTCATTTTAAAAGGGCTTAATTGTCATCTTAAGTCATTAAGTGACTTTGTGTGCTTTCTGTTCAAAAAAAATATTTCTGAACACTATAATCCCTTGTAGAGCTCATTCTAACATAGCAATTTAGATTTGTACTTAGTTTTCTAATAATCTACAAACCATACTAAACAGTTATTTTTTAAAATGGACCATTTTGCACCTTTAGCAAATAACAAGGTTTTAACCACTTTAGTTATTAATATATGCTAAATATGCCACTATGTTTTTGTACTATAAATAAGTATATATATATATGTTTTTTTTACTAAAACCTAAAAGCATGTGTGATTGTCGATAACTGAAAACTCACTTTCAGAATCCATACAGTTCAAACACTTACAGACGGAAGCTTGCTATCTATTATGGGTATTGTGACCTTTACTTAATTCTACAGCAATGAGAGGATTCATTATAATAAGTTCTGTCGAGATATAGCCATCCAGGGTAATGGAAATTAAGTTTTACAGAAAAATCATAGTTAAATTTGCATTTGTAACATTTTCAGTGAAGAGAGAAAGGTGTAAGGCTGTCTGCTTTCTTGACACAAACGTATCATGTGTGGAAACACAAACAATTTCTTTTTATTTGAATTTCAGCAGTTTATAAATAATTAACTTTGTAACACCTTTAGAGAAACAGATTCTGTCTGGAGTTAAAAGGTTGTGGAGCACATATCATGTGCATGCTTGTTTCATAAAATGTCAGCTTCTAGTTTTTTCAGAAGCCTCTTCCTTCATGGCAGAAATAACTGTCAAGACGTAGTTCTCCCTAGCTCAGCTTGTAAGCTTTAGAACTAAAAGCTAATTATATGAAACTCAAAGTACAACAATATTTGTGTGTGATGAGCCATGGAAATGTTCATTTTGGTACAGAAACACATTGTACCCGCTGTGTAAGTGTGCTGCAGTCCTCTAATATAAGCCGCTGTACAAGATACATAATTTATCAGAATTCAGTCAGTTTAGTTTAAAAGTCAATATATTTAACTTCTATTACTGAGTGCTCAAAAGGTTTGACAATACTCTGGAAAAGTATCTTCAACACAGAAGTGCTCTACGAATGTGCCAGCACACGGTGTTTCTCATCTTTGAAATTGATTCATTTACAGATCTTCAGATAACCTGGAAACAGAGAAAAAAAAAAACATTTTAAAACTGCAGTTTTGTGAGCGGCGTTCACCCTTTTTATATTTGCAGGTAAACCGTGGTAAAACGGCTCCTCCACAACCTGATGAGAAGCTGAAAGCAAGCATTCTGGAGAAGTGAGTCCCAGTTCAACCATGTTTTTTCACTCTTAAGTTTATATGAAATTGATTTCACGGATTAGAGTGATGATTGGATAACAAGAAAACATTTAAACAGCGATGCAAATACAGTATCAGTTTAGTTTAGACTTGTACCTCGGGCATCTTGTCTTTATTCTGATTCCAAAACACAATTTGTTTTAAACTACCTACATCTAAATGTATTTTGCGCTCCTTTTAAGACTTGGCTGGAGACCATGTATCTTTTCATCCCTGGTGGAGGAAGATGTAGACATCCCCTGGAGAAATAGACCTAATGTGGAAAAAAAAAAGTGTTTTCTGTGAATGATATCTAGAATGATGTCTTTGCAGCCTGTATATATTCAGAAAGCTATAACTGTTCCTCTTTTAGGTATATGTTAGTGGACAATGAGGAAGATAAGAAAATTCACAGGCCTGTTACACCTAAGGAGGTAAGCCCATTTGCTGTCAGGAAAGAAAAAAAAACATAAAGGTGGCGTTTTTTGAATTTAAGCATAAGAGACATCTCATAAATCACGATTAAGGCACTCTGTAATTCATGGGTGAATGTGAAGTTTAATAGCTTGGTTTTCATTCCAAAAACCTCAAGATGTCAATCAGTCTTCTCCAAGGGATAATTAAGTAATCTACATAGAAGCTACCGGCAAATTATAAAATATCTTCTCATAGTGAAAGACGGTTATGGTTATTCAGTATTTGATATGTTTAACATTTAACTATAGTACACTGATACTTAATTTGAAAAAACAAAGGGTAATAGACTTTCATAGAAAGTAAATATGCAGAAAAAGAGTAACCTGGCATTGGTATTTGTGCTGTTACACAGAAAAGCTGTTATGTGTGGTACGTGTTGTGCTACTGATCAGAAGGTCATTGTGTTGAAAACTGTTTAGTTAGTTGTTCTGACACCTCTGTGAATTGTGCAGGTCTTTGTTTAGCTGATATATAGACCTTGAATTGTAGAAACTCCAGGTGATGTTTAAGGATCAAAATGAATGTGAGTTTGTACCTTCTTTGTACCTAGAAAAAAACTCAACATTTCAGCTTGGCAAGTCTTTCAAAGTGTACACTGTTCTGCACCAGATCATCTCGGTGTCTCCTGTGTACAGGCTCCGAAGAAGCTGATTCGATACCATGGTAACCAGGTGGTGACCACCAAGGGCGAGCGATACCAGCAAGTCAAGAAAGAGGAGAGTGAGGAAATGAAGAAAACCTATATCAGCCTCAAACCTGCCCGTAAATACAGATTCCACTGACTCTGCCCCGGCCTCCTCGACTGTAGCTCCATATCCCGAAGAAAACAAAGAGTGATGGTTTTGTGTAGCATTTCCAGGTGTCCCCAGGTGGGTCCTGCAGAAGTTAGGTAGCAGTCTGTTTTTTCCACGTTGTTTTGCTTCGTCTGAACTGAGGGGGTCAGCTAAGCTAAGGTCTGAAAGTGTCCATACAGCACAAAAACCAGAAAGACCTGGACCAAGACCGCACTCCTGAAGGGATGAGCTGGCTCTCTTCTTGTTTTATGTTTTCACTGAGTTCAGTTTTTTACACTGATGCATTTAGTCTAGGTTTAAGGTTATTTTTAGGTTTAAATTCGAGACATCTACTGCAGGTATCTTTGGCACTGCCGGGCATTTAAATTCATGTTTTACTACTAGATGTCCCCAATACAGTGCTAAGGGTTTTTCAGGGTAAACTGAATTTTATACTTTACTCAAATAATTTAAAATAAAAAAAATCGAATTTGATCATTAATCTTAATAAAGTATAGTACATTTCTACTGGGTAGAAGCATTGAACATGTGTAAAGGCAGTTAGCAGGGTGTACATGAGAGGATGTCAATCTCCCAGATCGTTTAGGAAAATGGCTGCATCATATAAACCCCTATAAGTCAAATAACTTGTACTATAACAGGGATGAGGTAATTAAACCTGCATTCTTGTTTAGTTACTAGCAGCTCAATGGCCTGAGGATCCAAGGGACACTGTCACCTTGTCTTCTGAACATTGTCTTCCATGCAGGCCTGTCTGCAATTTTCAAACATCTTATCCTCTCTACATTCTTACATCAGTAATGAAGGTGGCCGACTATCTCCTGACATGCATCAATGTGGAAGCACAGAACACACCAGGCATCCAATTCTTCATGGGGTGGTAGATTCCACCATATATATATATATTACATGACTCTGGTATTCAAAAAAATGATCTTTTCACTGTAGTCCTCTGAGGAAAGTCATTTCTCAGGACTCTGTACTGGGGGAAGGAAATGCCTTTCACCAAGTGTGCACGCTTCTTCTTAAATACTGAAAAGTGCACGGTGTCTTTTTTTATAATCAAGTCATACACTGAAACAGTTTGAAAGGATTTGTCCTGAGCACAAGTAAGGGTAGCAGATCAAGGTCTACTCCAGCATCGCAATTCCCAGTCCTAGGGAATGGCTCATTTTCCAACATCTTATATATCTTAATAGGAGTCACTTTTTTACTTGGCTTTATATTGCAGTATTAGATTTCCTTATTGGCTGGTCTTTGACTCATCCAGTTGGGGTCAGGCCAAGGCCTAGGCAATGCCAAGACTTGGACCACTTGGCCTGTTCTGTCCCTGTCATTTTGAATGGACACATCCCCTTTTCTCTGTCAGCAAAGGGAAAACCCATCAAGTACTGTCTACTGTATAATGTGTGACTGGGGGAGCTGGAGTTTTGTGTACCTGTTTACATTAGTTTTAAGTAAATCTTTTGATGCCTTTGTGAAACGCATCACAATATTACATTTCTCAGTGACAAAAATAACTTTGTAGCTCTTGTCACTGCCATTAGCTCAACAGATAAGCACAGTTTACGAAGATACCAAAAGGCACAATTTCTGCTAGTACCACACTAAGCAGTTAGACATCAGAGACTTCTATAATCCAAAGTAAGGTCCTACTGAAACACAAAACTTTATTATGCCATTTTTCCATTTGTGTAAAACAGTCTCTGTAACAATATTGAATAACTCAGACATTTATTTCTGAGTACCAGACAGATTTTCACTTAAAAAAACTGACTTTTTGTTCTTCTTGAGATTTTTTTCTTCATGTTAATAATGTTACTTCCACTGTTTCCTTTCAATGTAGTGTGTTTATCCTGCATCCTCTCTTTACTACAGCAGATTAGTTTTTTGACATGTTTCAGTAGTATTAAGTACAGTTGCACTGCTTAATATTCAGTTGTTTTGCATGTTTTTAAACAGTGATCCTTAGTTTAAAATGGAGTCATATTAACTGCAGCACAAGTATTTGAGTTAATTTCTCTATTTTGTATTTTTTAAACTTATTATAATGTGGATTTTTTTTTGTGGTGGACCAACATGTGAGTGAATTTTGTGCCCTGTAATAAAAATATATATTGTGTCACCTCAAGAAATACAAATTAAAGTGCAAACCCACAAAGTCATGAAAGTGACAATAATTGCATGGTGTTGTGCCTTTTTGTGGTTTCTCCTCTTTTATACAGATTAATAGCAACCAATGTTACGGCACTGACCACAGATTCTGTATCTTACAAACACCAGCCAGCGTACATCTTTAGGGTTCACGCAGTGTAAATCATACCTGTGCACTATCTGGAGATTGAAAAGCTGAGTGGTGCTGGAGATCTTTGCCTAGATTTGAGGATTGACGAAAGGTGCAAATCCAATGACATCTTGCAGCAGAACCAGAGCTCTCTGCAGGGGCGGCTCCACGTCGATCTGCACATTCCTATTCCGCAGGAGGCCTAAACTGGACTCCGTCACATTGTGGCAGTGGTTCACCTTCAGAGACTGCAGCTTCGGACAGTATTCTGCGACCATCCTGCAGGCACAACACAAGACCTTTCCACAGTGTTTCTCCTCAAAGTCCAGAAAAAGAAAAGGCTATTTCAAGCGCCCCCTTTGCTGCCGTATTTCAACTTCCCACAAAATCCCTCACATAACACCTTGCCTTTCGCAAAAGGAATTCTAGCTTAGGACCAGTTTAAAGAACATGCAACAGCTAATGCAAGATTGCTACAGCTTGCAAACAATTACACCTTTATAGTGATGTATTAGATTATGTCATTCAAATTCAGTATGGTATGTCTGCTTTCTTTAACTATAATAAACCCGCTTCCCTGCAGAGTTTTTTGTAATAGGTTTTAGCAGTTCTCAAGTTCTCAGGTTGTAAACCTGGGGCAGCATGAGATGTCTGAGCAGTAGAAACTTTTTGAAAGGTGTTTAAACAGGCAGGCGGAGACTAAATAGAAAATACAAAATCAAGCAAGCTGAAATCGAGGAGAACTCCCTGTGTAAACCTGTAAATATTCAAGTATACATCATGAGAGTTATCCAAGGTGGCACTTCTCTGGACCAATACTTCAAACCATGTATTTCTCTTTACTGATAGTGTTATCAGATCTATATGCACGTACCAGTCAGGACTGAAGACTGATTTAAAACCGTCACTATATTGCATATGTATTAATAAATGTTGAAACATCCTGTAAAATCTCTAGTACCTGATGGAGTCATTCCTAACCCGAAGACAGCCTGTAAGGTCCAGCTGTACCAGTTCTCTGCAGTTCTTCGCCACCTCCTGCACAGAAATGTCGCTGATGTTGGCATTGACCGCTACTGACAGCGACCTTATCTTTGGACACTTTTTGGCCAGGTAGCAGATAGCTTCATCTTTGAGTTGCCGGCAAGCCGTCAGGTCTATGGACTGCAATCCCCCACAGTGATCGGCAAGGCTGCGCAGGGAAAGACTGTCCACCCACTCACAGTGCGCCAGGCCCAGGTGCTGTAAGTGGCTGCAGGTGAGGGACACGGCCACCAGGGAGTGGCGGCTCAGCCGGGCACAGCCACTCAGATCGACCCGTAGCAAGTGCTGATTCTGGCCAATCACTGGCAGCAGCTCCTTATCGGTCAGCCAACCAGAGCAGTTCTGGAGTGCCAGGTTCTGCAGGACTTTGTTGTCCCTGAGCATGGTATAAAACACTTCCTTGGGTATAGATGGTCCAACCTGAAAACGTCAGGGAGTAAAACATCACATGAGTTAGTATTCAAAGTTCCTCTAAACAATCAAAAAGCGTGCTCTTTAAGTTTAGTTTTCTAAAAATTGCACTAGATTTGGAGCTGTTCATTTTGTAGACAAAATGTGGATAGATGTTACAATATATATTGTAAGGCACTTAATAATCACATATCATTTTTTAAAAGCATTATAATTTTTTTTCCAGAATTGATAATAAAGGCTAAATCCTAAAACACAATCGTATACGAAGAGCAGGGACCACTGCGAACGTGCCCCGCCTTCACATTACAAAAATCCAAATCCACAGAGGCTTTACCTGAGAGAGGTCAAATGTGCGACAGTTGGCCAGGTGGACCTGGACGAGAGCTTGGAACTGCTTGCTCACTCTCTGCAGTCTGACTATCTGACGCAGGGGAAGGTAGCAAAAGATGTGAGGGACCAGCACATCCTCCCAGGGCAAATCTAGGAGATGACACCTGCAGAGAGAGAGATCAATTCATTCTGCCCACCAACATTTGGATTAGTGTTATAGCTCAGCCACGAGATCCTCCCCCCCCCCACTTAGAGAGAGGGTTGTCACTCTCCTGCCTCCCCTGTAGGCTCCACAGTGGACTGCTGCACTAGTGTATACTTTGCACTGGGGAGCCTGTCTTGGCTTGTTTGGAGTTGATTTGGGCTGAACCCCACTAACCTGAAGCAGGCCCATTCCCCAGCCGAGCAGACGGAACATGCACAGCCCTACTTCCTTAACACATTGTGAAGCTTAGGGTGTTACAATGATGTCTTCTGAATGCTTCATTTGGCCTGGATTGTTTAATAACCCCGCTCCTGGAGCTGCCCTGTCCAGCAGGTTTATGTTTGTAACCATTGAATCAGTCATCTCTGAATTACCGAGATAAACTGAACAAGAATAATTCAAAAAAAAAAGGCCAAAGGCTTTCTGGCCCTCAAGGACCCAAGTTCCCTTGATTGAACAAATCACTTGTTTAATCCGTCAAGAACTTGCATGTGTTCCCAATCTTCAAAATGCGATTCATAATACAGGCTGGTGCTTGAGAACCAGGATCAGACACTCCTGGTTTAAACAGTGAAAGGACAGCCCCTGAGATAGGTCCTCCACTTCAGAAGAGAGGCAGCACAGAAATATCACCTCGACCCAGAGCAGCCGCTGGTCTGGAGGCAGTTGTCATCTGTGACTTGCCTGATTCTCCCACCCCATCGCCCCACCCTCTCGCTAACTGCCAGCACGGTTATTCCTTTGTGCTCTGTGTCAAAGCTCACATTCATGGCAAAGACACCTCTGAGTGTACTTTCCTGTAGTTTCCATTCGTGTTCTCTGCCTCATTTTGAAGAGGTCCACTGGTTTTGACTTTGACCTAACAAGTAATAAAATTAAGACGTATTGATCTGTAATTACTTTGTTCAGTCTTGTCACCCTTTTTAAGAATGGGCACTACACCCCGTTGAGATAAAAGTATACTAATGGTTCTCTCACTTCCGACTTTCTCACTCTTTCTTGTTTGTTTTAATCGTCTAAATCAATACAGACATTTCCCTCAGGTGCTCTGACGAAGGAAAAGTCTATAGCCATGTTTATCGCCTCAGTGTCAGCAGCTGATATCCCTGTTGGTTTTTCCCATGGACTTATTTAAACTATGCAATTAATGCTGCGAGCAATCGCACTTGAAATACACAGAAACATATTTTATACTTGTGTATCCCTACACTATACATAGCACTATCAAAAATCATTCTTGCACATTTTGTATTCAACTTTAACGTTTAAAATTTTCCAAAGCTGCGATCCGGAATTAAAAACATCGTTTATGTTGTTATGAGTGCACTCAAAATTCAACAGCTACTGCCAAAATGTCGGTTACTAATTACCTGCAACCCTCCTCTTCTTCCATTTCTGTAAGCCGCCCCTGCTGCCTAGACCTTCGCCTTTCGCACAGTTACACAATGAAACCGCAAGCACAGCGTTCCGGGTTCTTGTGTTCCTCTGTTTTTGTTCCCGTAATTTCGAGGAAACAGCCTCTGACGCTAATAGTTCCTCTTTCTAAAGTGTTTTCATAAATCACAGATATTCAATATTTATTGGTTTATTAAAAGTTCGCAAAAGTTACGTAGAGTTTGTTCTGTTGACATATGTTATGGGATACTCGAAAGGAATAGATGCAAGCGTAGTATAATTTAATATTTCTATTTCCACTGCACACATGTACTCCATGATTTGTATTTTGACGAGTGAGAAACGAACATGTACAGTAGCTTGGCTGCATGCAAATAATATGCACTCAGCGAAGTAATATATATATATATTTACAAAAGTAGTGATGCAATGAAGATAAAATCATGTAAACCAGTATGCTGAAACAAGAAATTAGCTTTGCTGGTCGTGTGTGGGTTATTCCAGTGGTAAGACCTTGTTCCATGCTATAATTTGTACCACTGACCATGGGTAATTATTTATTTACGAGAGGAACAGATTCATAGTACCTGTCCATAGACAGACACTGGAGCATGTGACATGTAAAATTCGCGTGCCTACACAAACGCTTGGACAAATAACGGCTCAGGCAAATCACCTCTGTGTACGCGCATAATGGGGCCAGTCATGCGGAGCAACTGCTGACCAGACAGATACAAACCTAAAACTAAAGAGAGGGGAGCTCGGTGGATCACTGGGTGCTTTCTCCTGGGCGAGATGTCTCTCCCAGCAAGCGCTCCGACTCCGTGCTCCCCGACTGCAAGCCAATCCGTGTACGGTTTCACTGTGCAGACCCTCCAGGGCCAGCAGCGCTCTCTCAGGAATTATGAGGGCAAGGTGCTGCTCATCGTCAACGTGGCCACTTTCTGAGGGTCAACTGTGGCTGAGGTAATTATGTCTTCTGTTTCCCATATGAGTATGGGAACCAGAAAATTAAGGTCTTTGTAGCTTCGTGCCAAAACAGAAGAGCATTACTCAGTCAATTTCTGCTTAGCTAGCTTGGTGAAAATGCAGCACTATGTTCACTGGTATTCAGTCTGTTTTCTGCTTAATTGTACATTTAGTTAACGTTTACTTTTAGTAAATTATTTTTGGTACATTCATTGATTTTGTCGTCTTTATTTTGAGGAACACTCCCTGCCTAGTATCCCAGAATGGAGTGCGCTTTAATTCTGTTTTGATATTTTGGCTTATTCTACAGTATCACGCATTGAATGCACTCATGGAAATATTTGCTGACACCCCGTTCACTGTTTTGGGATTCCCCTGTAACCAGTTTGGTCTGCAGGAGCCCGGTAAGATCTGTCTCACGTTTCGTATAGAGACAATAACAGTTTTCATTAAAGTACATTCCGTGCTCCAGAATGCCTTATCTGTTTTGTGCAAATCTGGAAAACGTCAATGTAGTTCTGATTTGATATTTTGAGGTTGACACAAATGGTTAAAAAAAAAGGTCATCCAACTTCAAAAGCAGCACTGAATTGTTTTTTTCATAATTTGTATTACAAAAAATATTCCGATGGTCCATGTACTTGGTTCCTGCTAGAGTAGCTCAACTGATAATTCTGTTTATAGTGCTGATTTGCCTTTGAAGATGTAGCCTCTGTTCTATTAAACTCTTTTTTGTGACTGAATAGAGTATATAGTAGTAAGAGTGTATGTTCTCATTCATTAATATGAATTTGAAACAGGTTTAAACAGCCTGATGGCTAACACACAGCCCATCTCCAATAGTTATGCATATAGCTGGCAGAGGTAATTGGGTGTCAAACCTTGTACAAGAAGCTTACAAGAATCATAAATTTCAGCTTAGAACATTCAGGGATAACATGGCAGAATAATGTTTAAAGAGTATTAAATTAAAGCTTCATCTGTGTTTTTCACAATATTCCATTGCTCTTCTCAGAGGAAGATCATGAAACATTGAATGTGCTAAAGTACGTAAGACCAGGTGGCGGATTTATGCCAAAGTTCCCAGTGTTTAGCAAGTTGGAAGTGAATGGAGTAGGTGAGGATGCTCTCTTCACATTTTTAAAGGTACAGTAAGCCATTTCACATATTTTAATGCTACACATTAATATTTTTAGAATTACACCCTGAAGACAGCTTTCTAAATGTAGACCTACAAACATCCACGAATGAATCAAGTAAAGCTGCAATATTATAAATTACTGTAACAAAAGTATTGCTGGGTTGCAAAATTCCATATCTTATTTGCCAGAATAATGAAATCAATTCCAAAATGCAGCAGAACCTATGCTGTAAATTGTTTTCTTTCTTTTATATTTCCATATGGATGTGCTGCAGGATTCCTGCCCCTGTGTCAACCCAGTTATTGGCGATCCAAAAAAATTATATTGGTCTCCCATCAAAGTGAACGATATCCGCTGGAACTTTGAAAAATTCCTGGTCCTGGCTAATGGAGTACCTTATAAGAGGTGAGCTGCTTGAAGCAGTTTTCAGTGGCCAATGTTTCGTACATAAAATTAAAATAACTGAAATTATCCCAATACAGCCCACCACTATACCTACTATCTCTATTCATTATAGGTAATTAGCAGATTATTGAATTCCATATAGTTGTTTAACACATAATGGTGAAGATAAAAATGTTAGTGTATATTTAAAATGTTTTGAATTTCCTAAGGTGGTAAGTGGGAAGTTATTTTTCAGTGCTAACCCCCTCGATATGGAGCAATTAAAAATAATCATCATTATCCTAAAACAGTCCTTATCTTCTAGGTATGAGCTAAACACTCCCATTAAAGAAGTGGAGAGAGACATTGCAGGTCTCTTAAAAATCCTACGTTAATTCCAGTGAAATCAGCAACATCCTCCGTGGAGCAGAGACGTGAAAGGTCAGCCCTTTGCACACACAGAGACAGTGTGAAGATCTCTTGGTAAATGTGGACTCGCACCTGAGATGTATCTGAAGTGGTAGGAGAGAACACTCTGTGTTTCAGTGCATTCACACAGAGGTGTCGTCACCTACTGGTCTCGTGCTGGCTGGCTGGCTGGAGGGACTCAGGAGGCCACTGTGCTCCTGCTGTTCACTGGACCCACAGGAAGAAAAAAAACAGGTGTTCCACATTGAACTTAATAAATCTCTAAAAACTGTTCATTCATTTTGTCCTTATAGCATTTTTGATCTGGTACTTCTTAGAAACAATGGTTTGGTGAAATGAATGTGTTCCATTGAAGTAGCTCAGTATTGTGTAGATCAGAAATTAACTGTTAAATAGTTAGGTGTTCACAAAATCAGGTGAGATCTATCTTCGTTGTAATTTTGCTTAGCTCTCCCGTGAGTCTTTCCAAAGCAAAAAATCTTCAGTTATTAGGAATATGTACATTTATAGATTTTTTACAAGCAAATGTGTCATCACTCAACATACTGTACAGCCAGAGTTTGAAATAAAAAGGATAAAGTAAATTAGTCATTAATTACATTCTACAATTATATACCTAATAATACATTCATGTTTGGGCTTAGCACAACATTGTAGACTGTTTCGTAGTGTTAGCTTTTATTCCAAATGTTGCTCCACGACTCTGAATTCTTCAATTCATACAACAACAATGTATATGCATATGTACAGCATATTTATGTTTTAATAAAAGTATTTAAGGAATAGTATTCATGTTTCGCTGATAAAAAAGGGTGTCAATACTTCCCGACATGACAGTACAAGTTACGTTCTATACAAACCTCATAGTAATTAAATGTTATAGTTTCTTACATTTTATTTAAGAACTGTATGTACAGTTATTCTGACATGTTTTTCCAAGCGTGACTCCAAATTCACAATCAGTGCACATCACAGCAAAAATAAAAACATGAGCAGTAGCTTCCCTTTTGTAAGAAACAAAAAAATTATAAACCCATCTACAAAGCAAATCCAGCAAACCTAGAAGGACTGCATCCCCAGTGTTGTGATGGCATCAGGACTTGCTATTTAACTCCTCTCATCCTAAATCTGTAAGCGTTTACAGAACTGTCCTATATGTATTGCCCCTATTCTTGCAGTAATGTTGTAATCCAGAGGTAGCCACAAACTGGATATTCAAATCCATTCCAGTGCAGGGCTTTCATACAACAAGCTTATTAATTATGTCTACATTATCAAACAATTAATCAATTAATAAGAAGATTGTGCCAAAATCCAGTATCAGAATGGAGTGGAAAATTACCCATGCTGTACAGCATTTCTTGTAAGGATTCTTCAATTCCTCAAAGAGTATCAGTTGACACATAAAATTACATATTTTGCAGTATAACAGATCAATTTGTCGATGCTAACACAGACTAAAGCATACATTTTGTTAAACCACTTACTTTTATAAAATCAGTAAGAAAAAAAAAACATACTAAGAAGGAAATAAATGACCGGATGGAACAAAGACACTAATAAGATGACCAATAGAAAACCAAAAGGCAAAGCATTAACTTTAATTATGTCAAATGTACATTTTTACATGCAGCATTTATATTTGTTCAGTCAATACTCAGCAAGTCACGAATGCAATTTAATTTAGTTATGCCCACTACGGTAAAGAACAGGGCCCAGTGTTTAATAAATACAGCCTCCCTGTTTTGCTGAAAATGTATTTTTAAACAAACAGCAGCAGCCTGTCTTAAACAGCATTCAACAGTCAAAGAGCAGCATCAATAGATAGGATGCCAGTGCTGTACAGAAATAAAACACAGTGGTTGGCACAGTAAAACATTAGGAATTTAGTTTGTTAAAATGTTTCTTGTTAAAGTCCAAGCTGTTTTGCTCTACCCCAGCTGCTCTAGGGGTGCTGTATAAATGGCTGACCCTGTGCTCTGACCCCAGGCTTCTCTCTCCTTGTCTGTGTGTCTCCTGGAGAGCAAGCTGGGGTATGCAAAAAGAATGGGGTATGCCAATAAAGTGATCTCTACCTAAACCTGACAAGGGAGTCAAATTCTCAAACCACAAGATAGGGTGCTTTGCTTGTTCCAGTTTAAAACTTAGATTTCCTATTGTGACAGGCAAGTAATTGAAGCTACGGAAGAGCGATCATTAAAGGTTAGGGAAACCTTTCCCTGTATCCTTTGCTAGGTTTTTACATAAGATCATGCTCCAGCTGTACATGAAAACAACCGTTTAAAAGGATTGCTACTTTCTACAGTAAATGTCTTTTGGTATTAATGCACAATAACACTTAAGTTTGCTTTCTATGTTGAAATGAGACACCATGTGAGCAAGCCACCAGTTATACTTTGACATTTGTGCTTATTAACATAGGAAATAATGGTTCTCTCCCTAAGCATTGGTAACTTTATTGCATTTTATACAAAAATGAAGGCGTGCATTCTTATCAGCAACTGCCTTTGCTCTTAAAAATAACATTAAGCAAATTCCTAGAAGACAACTACATTAAAATGAAAAAATATAATGAAGTGAAAAAACTCCATGCAACTCCATACTGAATGACCAAAAAAGAATCCAAATGTTAGGTTTATCCAATGTTGAATAAACACAAAATTATAAAAATGGGATCTTTAAAGCTTGTGAAAGTAAGTTAATTTTACGTTTCACAAGAAATGCTGAATTGACCAATATAAAGACATCTCTAGAAAATAGAGGAGTCTTGAAAATTATTTTCAACATCACTACTAACCTCTTAGCCATCTCATAGATTTACTGGCAATGAAGGTGTGGCAAATGATTACTTAAACCCTCAAAATATCGGGTCAAGAAATGCTTATGTATTCTAGAAGGACCATATTATTACTGAATGTTTCAGAAATTAGGGTATTTTTAAGATCTTCATTACAAATAGGCACTCTAAACTTAAATCCAATGATCCCGTTCTCACATACTGTAACTGAAAAAGATTCTAGAAAACAACTGCACATGTGTCAAATTATCTAATGAATTTAATTTAATAAAAATGAATAACGGCACAATTCACAATGCTAATATTTTTAGAAAAGTCACAAAATTCTATGTGGCACTGGATTCCCAAAAATACACCAATGCTGAAAAAAATCTAGGGATGTCATTTAGCACCGTGAATGGTCTTCGAAGCCCTCATACCTGCTGGTTTTCATTACAGATGATTTTAGTTACTTAATTGGATGCTTGATTGGAGCATTTGCTCTGGATTTTTATATTCTTATGAAAGGCAATAGTTTCCAACAAGTTTAAGAGCTGAGAAACAGTTTAAATTCATCCTATTGTTATGTCAATTACGTGCTTAATTACTTAACTGAGAACTGAAATAAACCCCAGCAGGTGTGTGCGCATCCAGGACCAGGACTGGAGTGTACCTAGAGTGAGGGTATGATAATACCTAGGGTACCCATTCAGCCGGGTATTAGGACACAACTGAGTTATGGACTGGAGGACCTATAAACTGAAATAAACTGTTCATCATCTGCTCTTCCTTCTGAGGGCTTTGCAGGCCTCCTCTCACTGTTCCCTTAGCTCATCAAAGGCTAAAAGATAAAGCGGTGAAATAAAGACCTGTCATCTACAAAGTATGTTAAATTAATTTAACTGAGGAGCATGAATACATTTAGCTTTTTTCCTGAAACTGAACTCTACTGAAATCATAAGCAAACTTTACAGTTAGACTTTCAACATAAAAGACATCAAACTTGTCATAATGCTTATGCACATTCTAACAATATCAATTTACAAGTTAAACTGTACCATATAGAGTGTAATAAACAGTTTTAAAAAAGCCCAGACGTGAACAATGAGGGCATGCCATAAGACGGTATATAAATGTTACAAAATACCAATTAACAAAAATGCATATCCTAGAATTAATCAGCAATAATTTAACTTAAACCTATTAAGCCCCCCAAAAATTCAAAATGCCACAAACTTTCCTTCAGTTATAAAACACTCATATATACAAGCATTTTCAGTCATCTCTGCTCAGTGCATCACTTACAAATATACTGTATATTTGTGTTCTGTTTCCAATAAGCCTTCTTTGCTTTAGACTAAAATCTCTTATGTAATAAGAGAATAACACAGAAAAAACAGTACAGGTATCCCTAGATTAATAAGTAATTGGTTTCAGCAAATTCCAATGCATTTATCAGCTGCTTTAATGACAGCCTACCCTGGGTCTGTTATCCATCCATGACTACATCACAGAATCCTTACAGGGTGACAGTCAATTTTCATTTAAACAATTTACATCTATACCAAACAAACTTAAAAGTTATTTTAACTCAGCCGAACAAGTTACAGACATCCCAAATATGGAACACAGCATTAATTGTCACACATGATAAAGAGTGCCCTGCAATCTGTCAAGCTGGACACAAGCAAAGAGGATACAGAAGAGGAAAAAGGGATGCATTCATTTCCCTTTTGTGAATCAAGGGATACCTGTAAAGAAATGCAGTATCTAACATTCAGCAGCTGTAATATAATCTGTACATACCTAAAGATGTCTGACCACTCTGGAGCAACCAGCTGAGTATATTTATTTAATGAATAGAAAGTTAACATCTTTGTGTACCTGGAGCGAAGAACTCACGCTTAATTATTATCAGGGAGCTGTAGGTGTACAAATGCACCACTACTGTATATCAAAGGCATAATGCTGTGCCAACACATCCACACAGTCAGGGAAGACTTCCAAATCAGCATTACATTATACAAAGGCCATGAATGACCTAAAACCTTTCACATGTTGCAGGGTAACATAAAATAATTTTGGGGGAAAATTGGACTTGTATTTGGACATTTTTTGCCCAAATCAAAAATGTCCTTAATGACCTTAAAAAGACTGAAAGAGGCTATATGAATTACACAGGCTGCAGAATACCAAGTTACAAATGGGTTCCAACTCAACAGAACTGATTTTTTGGTGAGGTCAAAACTGCTTAATGCTCTTCAGCTATGAAATCAAGTAAGAGGCCAATGTTTTGTGAAAGGACTCTAAGACAGACATCCCTGACCTCACTCCTTGATGGCTACAATTGTGCTGTTTACTATTTCTCGTCACATCATTAACAGCTCACGAGGAGGAGGAAAACAACAGCCTAAATGAGGTGCAATTTGAGGTGCAGAGTCTTAAAGAGCAAGAATGGAGATCACTCATTCTACCAAATCTGAGAACAATAAAATGATTTCATTACGTTTGAAACACTTTTCCAAGATAATGCCCTCACTCAATCTGGCAAGTGTGTTTCCAATTTGGAATATTTTACTCAACTGCTGATATACTTTAGTTCAATTCAGTATTACCCATCTTTAGCTGTAGTGATTAAATTATTCCCATCACCCCGGGTTAAATTTCTTCATATATGCAATGTTCAATATTAAATGTCTCAAAGATTGGAAACCTTTTCATTCTTCCAAAATCATTTTATGGAAACAGAAACAGGTAGGAGAATCCACAGTAACAATTAAGTTCTGACAATGAAGGCAAACTGGAGGACAGACAAAAGATTCCAAGGTGTCAGAGCAATTCCATGCAATACTGGCTCCGGAGTTCACACAGATACTGCCGACTTCAGTCTCTCCTGCAGAAAACACATCCAAAAAGTCCCTTCAAGAAGCCACTAACTGAAAACATGATCATATCGTCCTTTTATCATGAGGTTTAACAGAGGGCCAACCTGAAGAAAAAAAAAACAATTTTATTGATCTCAAAATATGTAGAAATCCACAGAGTGCATAAATGCCACATTTCTTTATTTGAAAAAAACATGGTCTAAGATGTATTTCAATATGGCACACCCTTTTAGTTTCTTTTGCATGATCTATTATCTTTTTCACATTTGCAAAAAATACTGTGGAGTTTGACTTTAAGTTCTAGAACAAGGCTGTCAAACATTGTCAAGTACATTTGTTGAGCCCACAGGTCAGTTGCAGTTAAGAGACCTCAACAAGTATTCAGTTCAAGTCTTGTTTGAGCCTGTATACTCCATGCACAAAACAGGTACATTTGGTGGCATTACTGTAACAGTCTTGCATTCACTGTGTTCTCTATGGTCTGACTCATTTAATCAGTTGTCATGCACTTGTTTGAAAAGGCCACAGAATTAGCGCGTGAGGGATGTTTCTTGGCGTGATAGCAGTGGGAGAGAAACTGACATCACCTGACCTGTTCACACAAGTCACCCAAACTTCTCCAAGCAATAGATGATACTTTAATATTGCAATCTATTGCAATAGATGATACTTTAATATAGTAATGAGGGCTTAGTACTTCTGAGGTTTATAGGGAGGAATTCAATTTTATATTCATTTATATGAATTAGAAATGTTTGTATTTCTTAGTAGAACATACTTTCTTTGTATCATATGTAGCCGTTGCCAAAGAGCAATAGCTGTATTCGTACATTTTCTGCTGTTTTTACACTGATCTCTAGCACTGTTCTGCATTTTCTATTGTTTTACACAATATTCATCTTAGATTTTGCCAGTTCTGTTTTCCAGTAAAATACATAACTTTTGCCGATTATGAAACAAGGTGAGCTGCTCCTCATTTATCAAATGGCTTTGCTAGTCCTTCAAGCAGATGATTGTGGTAACTAATTCTACACTTTGTACATTTCAGTCTGCAATTTACCAACTGATATAGACCCCTCCCTCACATCTACAAAGGTAAATCATTCCTCAGAAACTATTCAGAATGAGAAATGTTGTATAATGAAAATTAAGTTCCCATTACTTTCTATGTAAAATTCATACTCACACACAAGATCCTGAAAATCTCCCAATACTATTCAGTTACCATAAGGGGATTCATTTTCAAAATAAAAACATTACTGTATATTTATCAATGATATTTAGAAGATTTAACATAGTACATTAGCTTATGACAAAATATGTACAAATTGTACATTGGTGAATTGCACATTGCAAGCAAGTTGAAGGCAACAGAAAGCAACACAAATGTCTCTCAACTGCTCATCTTCTTCAGTCCTTTTCAGTCACATTTTACAGACAAGAGAAATGTTTTAATTATTTTCTTTGCCTTTTGACAATATTATGTTTAATACAAGTATGCATCATCTTTGTAGTGAACATTACTTCATTCAGATGAAAAAGGGTATTAAAATACATGCTTTAGTGTAGCACAAATTCATAAATCAAGCATTTGTGAGGTACAGATGTATATAGTTGCTCATTTAATTTGGCCTGACAGATTTACAAAATACAAATAACCACAACTACAGTATTATACTTCTATAAAATATACAAGACATAAATAAAACAATGATACTGTATATATGATATCATCTATTCTATATTTTAAATCTCCATGGTTAATAATACTAAAACAACATACAGTACCACACTCAGAGGGTAACATCCTTCTAAATTGTAATCTAGTGGAGATGCAATTCAAAGGAGATATTTTGTTGTGAATACCAAAACACTGCAAAGACATAATACCTTGTAATGAATGTGCCTGCTATTTTGATCATTTATGGTATGTCTGGCTTGCATAAATTACATTTAAATGAAATTAAGACTGACATCAGATCAGCAGATCAGGTTGATACCCCTGGCTTAGAAAGTTAGCATTAATTAAACATGTAAAGAACCCTAGGTTAATTTGAATGAAGGCCGCCTGATTTGCACAGCTTAGATGTTCCTGTAAAACGTGCTTGAACTTGATCTTATAAACCACTAGTACATGTCAGTTAACTAGACCTTTTGCATATGTAAATCCTTCTATTTCTTGGACATGTCAGCTGTACCTCATGAGGATCCCCCAGAGCTTCTCCCAGCATCTTCTCTATATTCCTCATGATAGCCACCTTCTGATGAGCCTTCAGTGGATACTCTATCCTTTTTGGGGTAGGCGCACCCTAAGAAAAACAAAACCAGTAAAAGTTCTAGGAGTCTAAACTAAAAACCCCCAACTCACAAATATCAGTATTTTTTCATTTCATATAGATAGTTAAGCTTTTCACTTCAAAGAAGTACAGTACATTGTCTTGTTTAGTTTTGACAATTTGTACACTGCAGATACGAAAAGTAAATATGCACACAGTTTGTGCATGACATGAGCACCTATGCTAATTCTCCCCAAATCAAATCCCATGCGATACATCAAAATAGTCTTACTAGAAATGTTTTCACAACTAACTCGGCAAAGGATGAAACACAGCTGTACATGTGGATTAATACGCTTGGATTGACAATACAAATGAGGCTTGTAAAATTCAATATTTCATTTTATTATTTTGCTTCATACCTTGTACCAGAAGTTTACTGTGATGGTTGTTCCTCCATTTAGCAGCGACTCAATGTGATGCCACCTAAAACATTAAAAAAAAACAATGATTATTGTTAAAACAAAATGACTTGTATATTACGATAAATATTGTGCACCCCCTGTGTTCTGAAGAATTGAACTAATAGGTATTCCTTGGCTGTAATATGCTTATATACAGTACATGTTTTAACATTTCTAAAAAGCAGATCAGAAATAGTTCAATAGTGATGAACAGACTAACAAATGCTGCCAAGTTCTAGGTGATATCCTAGCCCAACAGAAATCTATCCAAGTTGAAACAGACCCTTATTTAAAAAAATAATAATTTACTTTTTAATTTCAGGCTACATGTGCTGATCATAATCTGCAAGAGCTCCCATTGTGAGCGCAGCCCCTCTCAGGTCAACAAAGAGAGAAACAGAATCTAAATGAACACGAGAGCAGCCATGGAGAACAGGAAGAAGCGGCATCTCAGTACGAACTTCTAAATATTAAGCAGCTGGTTAGCAACATCCTCTCTTCTATTTGCTGAAGAAGTCGAGAGCTACTGGTCTGGAAGAAGGGGTTGTCACAGCTGGATCAGTCTCTGACAGCCTCGCAGCAGAGTGGGAGGCAGGGGAGACTTGTCAGCTGGCACAGCAGTGTTGCTGCTCCATTGGCAAACAGCCAGCCCACCGAGTGTTTCTACATCCTGAGCCTGTATATTCCGTTGGAGTCCATTAGGTTTAGTACTGCTGTTATGGCCGCATTATCCTGTGCAGAATACAGCAGGTTGCACGAGCTGATCCAGAACATTTATAAATATCTAAAAAGCTCTGAAACAGTGCGTAATAGGCCACAAAGCAGAAATGTCAGGAAAACGTGTCTTTTAAAGATTCATTCATTAAAGGCATGATCGTTTAAACCTGAAACAGAAAATTGTAAATGACATTTTGTGGATTTATTCTTATAGGCTATATATATATATTAACACAGACTATAAAAAAGTGCCTCCTTTGTTCTGGGTGGCACTAAGTGGCTAATCCTGAAGACTAGTACTGTTTTTAAGCACCTCATGTCCCACAGTCACTGCGCTATTAGATGGGCCAATAGTGAAAACTCAAACAGCCTTGTTCTGGGAGCTGTAAGTGACGTAAGTTTCTATCCATCATTCTTCAACCTGCTTTATACAATTCAGGGACACAGGAGAGCCCATCTCGGCAAGCAACGGACACAAGGCAGGAGACCCCCTAGACAGGACACCAGTCCACAATGAACACACCGACACAAACGTACACACTCACACCAGGGCCAGTCTTACAGAAGCCAGTTAACCTACCAGTATGGCTTCATACTGTGGGAGGAAACCAGAGCACCTGGAGAAAACCCATGCAAGCACTGGGAGAACATCCAAACTCGACACAGGAATTGAACCCTGGGGCTCGCAAGGCAGCACTGCTAACCACTGTACTACCATGCCACATATTACAAAAGTAATCAATTCAATACAAAATTAAACCACATTAGAACTGTTCTCTCACCAGTACATTGGGATATACAGCACATCTCCTGGGCCAACTACAGTCTCATAGCCAATGACATTTTTGAAATTAGGAAACTTTTCATAGTCAGGGTTTTCAAAATCAACCTAGAAAGACAAAAACAATATTAAAGCAATAATGTTGCTTTTTCTAAATGTTGCATTATTTTAAGCACTCATGCTTACATTATTTAAAACCACGTGGCTCGGGCTTCTTATGCAAAAGGTGACAACTCAGTGGGCCTTTGAACATCACTTTGATGTTTCTTTTATGTTATTTAGATTTAAATGAAAAATTCTTCTCTAGGATTTCCACTGTAATCTTAGTATTAAGCCTGGACCACAACAGCACACACAGCATGCCTGTTAATCCCAAAGAACATGTGTCGCGTGCTGAAAGATGGTCTTCCGGCAGCTGGGGGAGGCCTCCTGCGAAGGTCTGGGCTTGACATTGGCAACTGGCAGGTTTGATCCAGGCCCCACCCTGCCCGAGAGCTCACCTGGCTCTGTCGGTCACATGGGTGATGAACGGGGAATGGGTACAGCCTGTCGAACTGATCAGGAGGGAAGAGTATGCATCTCTTGTAACCCTTAATTTGTGCAAAAAAGTTCTGTTGCTCATCATAATGGGCTGGGGTCACATTTCCTACAAAGAACAAGAGAGAAAATTACAACCCAACTCCTTCCACGCACCAGGGTGTTGAATTTACACAGTATTCACTTTTAATGACGCAATTTTCAGCACATCTGGACCCAACAAATAAATATCCTGATAAGCTGGATCAGAGTAAATGACGAAATTATTTAAAAAACGTAATTATAAAAGATGGCTCATTCTTCAATACAATATAGAAACGTGTCATTCACAATGCACACAGAAGTGACAAAATGCAAGACCTGCCGTTTTATGAAGCAGATCGCTACAGTCCAGAAAACATAAGGAACCAGGCATTCTTGATACATCTAGGTCCTTAGCGGTCAATGACCGCTTGTATGTACAAATAGAGAAACATGATAAGACAACACCAAAAGGACCATGCTGCACCCAAAGTGGCAGGAAGCACCGTCCCTACCTTCCATGCCTATGAGAAGCAGGTTTGATGTCAGCTGCCCCCAGTTTCGCTTAGCTTGCTGCTTGTTAATCCAATTCCAGTTAAAGCCCAGGAAATCCACCACTATTTTCCGTCCTACTGTGTCGTTCAGCGTCTGCTGCAAATAAACCCTGAAATTAGAGAAAGGTTACAACTCAGCATTCAAGCTTTCTACTGCAACTATTTTAGCAGTTTATTTAAATGACTGGACCACTTATGCTTATATAATGATCATAAAAGCTAACGCATAGAGCTACAGTTCTTGTTCCACTCCCCTTCACAGCTGGCTTTCAACCTCCTCCAAACGGGTCTTCACTGACCCTTGCCTCTGCTTACTGCCCATTGGTTTGTTCACAAGATGAGCAAACTTGTATTTGCTCTACTGCTGGATTATCACAAATGCATTCTCCAGATATCTTATCTAAGATGTTTCAGCATCAGCCACTTCCCATACATAAAGTACTTAAACAAAGACCCATACAAATAATTCAAGATAACTGCCAAGGCTGAGAAGTCAGTATTGGGGGAATCGTGTGTATGGCATGGTGGTTGGGACCCAAAGTAGCTATCCAAACTGCTTGAATACACGGTCATGTCCAAAAAAGCATTTTCAATTCATGAAATATGACCAAACACATTCTACTGACTGACACACCTGCAGAAAAACTCTCATGATACTTTTGCATATTGGTCTGCTTGGATCCTCACTTCATACAATGTTCCTTGACCAGGAATGTTTGTGCTGTTTAAGTACTGAACTTTGATTCTTGACTTCTAGAACTGCAAAGCTCTTCCAATAATCCACAGCACTTTTCCCCCAGTTGTTAACTCTCTTAATGTTTTTAATTAAAAGCAACAAAAATAATTGTTCAGCTTCTCACAGTGAATGGTTTCCCAAAACATCGGACTGCAAATGCAACATTTATGGTCTCTTATCCATCAACCTGTGGTACAGTTTTAGCAGAAGTGCTCCACTGTGGCAGGAGAGGGCCATGCTAGTGGACCATTTCCCTGCCACCTCCGGTAATTCAAGGGAACAAAATGAAGGAACACCAAAAATAATTTTCAGTTCCACTCACTGGTAAATTACCTTTCATCTCCTCCTGCTTTTTCCATCTCATCCATCTTGTCCACAAACTCTTGAAATTTCATTTCCACGCGTCTCGACTTGGGAGCGAAGTTCTCAAAGTTTGACATTTTCTTTTCGTCGTAGTACAGAAATTTGTGGGTTTGCGCGATATACACAGAAAAATCTCCCCCTCCTATGTTCTCCTGCAGGTAGTTTAAGTCCCATTTGAGTGCCGGATAGACAAGGTCGGTGTCTGTTAGGACAACTGGTTCCTGTGAAAAAACATTTTTTGTTTAAATGCAAAAAAGCAAAAGAAAAACCAACAAGAAATTAAATATACTAGCCACTGTAAAGTAATCTGTAATTTTAGAGTCATAAACATCTTTGCTTCACTCGATTAACAAGGACCTCTTTCTCACTTTAGAATAAGGTGAATCTATATATTTTCACTAATGCAGACACTTTGTACCAGATTTATGAAAGTACTAATCAATGGCTTAAGAAATCTACAGGAAAGCTCCCTAAACATGAGAAACAAAACAGCTTACCAAACAATACTAAAAAGGCCATCACTTCTGTTTCTTGCTTACGGTTTGTGAAATTCGTTGCCACTTAAGAAAAATCCAAATTCACATCTTGAAATGGATCCAGAAACTAGCACAATATTTTGCGCATAAAATAATGTTTTGCTTTAATTTTCCTATTTCTAACACTTGGGAACGGCCTCCTAACTCCTTACTGGATCTTGATTGGGGAGCAGAAGAAAAGGGGTATAAGGTGGGGGGTCAACGGCTACTGCTCAGCCTCCTACAGGGTCCCCAGAGGACCCACACACACACAAGGCAGGACGAGACTGTTCCACCCGAGTTCAATAAGAGCCTCACACGTGAGCTGGGAGAGCAGTGTACGGAAGACCGGAGCATGACTCACGCTCCCCACATTCAGCTGCTAGGGCGCTGCAGCCTCACGTCATCAAAAGCCCTTCCACACCTACGGATGCTGCCATCTGTGCGTCACTGCGTACATCGCCCAAAGTGGTATTTGAACAGGGCCTGGAGCAGCAGGTCTCACCAATCGGACTTTCTTTTCTCCAGTTTACGAATTGCAATTGCATATCTTCAGACCGAGCTAAAAAAATCAACAAGGGCCCAGGGCTGCTTTTACCTGCAGCATCCCTGACAGGGATCTTTTTATAGGAAGGAGCTGCCCAGCCATGTTGTTGAAGCCCATACCCTGGTTTCTTTCAGGAAACTGCTGGATGAGATCTAACTACTAACTACCGCGAGGCTGGATGGGCTGAGCGGCCTCCTCTCGACAGTGTGTGTGAGGGGAAACTCAGGGACGGTCAGGGACAGTGTGCTAGACAGAGGAAAACTGCTACAAGTTTCTCATCCCTCAGCAGCAAGCGTCTTCACTCCTCTGTGAATGGAAACAGACATTTGTAAAGCTGCCTTTGAGGATTTCTAAAAGAAATCCCCTTCCCCGGGATAAACGTTAATGACATTAGTTTCCTCCTCACCAAACAAAACTTGTCACACATTACTACACAACACATCTTCTGGGATCCAAGATCTTAAGACAAACAAGTGAGGGCTGGAGAGAAAAAAAAACGTTTTTCAAAGGGTGGGATTTTATTTTATTATTCAGTCCTACTTTATGGTACTGTAGGAATAAGTCAGTTAGGGATGGAGAGAAATAAAATAGACATTTCAAATCAAAATTCTTCCTAAAAGCAGGCTGATAGCAGATTTTTTAAAGAATAAAGAAGAACACCACTGCCAGCTCATTCAACAGTAATACCCCTTCAGATTCACAAAGACAGTTTTCAGTCTGTATTCAAACATCGTCGTTTACATCCATGAAAAAGAAACCCCGAACTAGCAATAAGGTAACAGAACCTCTGTGATACGATTTAATGCTTGCGTTTTTGTTTCCAGATTTGAAAATCAGGTGAACCATATATTTAAGCATTTTGATAGGCTGCTTTATTTAAGAAGCCGCGTCCTTTATAAAATAACAGCACTTTAAGTTTAGAACAACTCCCGCGCACCTGTTGTGACCTAAACTAGCAACTGGAGAAGGCTGGCCCCACGCGCACCATGAATAAGTAACCATTCTGGCACGCGGCAGGGATGATGCTTTCTCGAGCACTGTGCTACGTGACAGAAGGAGCGTACTCAATCTGAGCACGTGGGGCACCTCCGAGTACAGCCTGCTCCACACTCGAAACTATCAGCTCCAACCGCAGACCTGCAGGGTAGTTGCGAGACAGAGTAGGAAGCAGGAAAAAAAAAATTGAACATAATCTTCGTGTGCAGAAAATGTAACGCGCAGGCTTGCATTAAAAAAAAATCACGGCTTGCAAAATAACGCCTTTCGGACGAAGCCTGTTATCGGTTAAAGTGTAGCAGTTCATTCAGGCTCCTCCAGACCATAAGGACGAGGCAACTCGCCGAGATGGCGAAATATTTTTTTGCGACACAGCCCAGCTTTAAAACTGATTCCGACAATGTAACGCAATATTAACGTGTCACGCTGTTGTACCCAAAAGGAAAAAAAAATCTTGTGTTGAAATCCTAATAATATATTATAATCAGATACACAATTTCTCTAATGAACATTTATACATTTCTTAAAGTGTTAAAAACACCTCTAGTCGACAACTAACATCTTATTTGAGAATGCAGGTAATCACCGAAAACCTCACTAAAGCCATTATAGTAGAACCCAATTACCCTTAAGGCAGAAATTACACACTTGCCTCTCCAGCCATAATTTACCTATGTGTAACAGTGCGCACACACAGGTATGCACTTCTTAAATTGCAAAGATGAGGTAAAGACGTCTGGTGTATGTGAGGTCGTGTGTATGCAAAGCTCAGGCATAGCAAACTCCATTTTGAAGGGACTATAGCAGCCGCAATAATCAAACAGGAACTTTGCTAGCACTGCAAACACAACCAGTCAACAAAAACACAAACACTCCAACATTTACTTGCAGATGTCAGGGCTGCTCCCACCACACCAGCTGAAAAAATGGAATTCAATTTAAAAAACGAAGCCCTGCCAGCAAAGGATCTGCACAGAAACTGGGATATCGGTGCAGGTACTAGCATAGCAGGGCAACATTCACAAAGGCCACAAAGGAACCAGAAGCCCTTCTTCAGGTCTTAGCAATTTTAATCACGCTGAGAAGATGCTGTTACAGAACGGTTTGCCTGTTTTCTGCGATGCCTAGGACAACTCATTGAAGCAATTACAGTGCATCCTGATCCCAGGCATTTTGCAGATGAGGCTACACACTCTAGCCATCTTCCCAGTGGAAGTCCTGGAGTGTCAATAGGTGGGAGAGTCCCCAGCTGTCCTTTTTACAGCAGCTCCTCCTAACTTGCAAACATAAAACTCAATAGAACCGGCCCCCCACATTTTAAGGCAGTTTACAGCTTTCCCACATGTTAATTCAAATTGAAAGACCCAATAATGGAGCCACAAGGCTGTGCAGAAGCACCATCACATTTTCTTTTAGAAATTAGAGGAGTGAGACTGAGAAGTTAACAATGTAACAGAAGAAGAAGTATATTTAGTAAATATAAATTTCTTCACCTACATCTTCTACTAATGTTATGAGAGATGGCACATTTGTCCAAATCTAATATGAAGAGAATCACATTTGAGTACGTAGGTAAAAAGTGACCACTTAGACAATGTTGTGCCTATAGCCCCTACAGTGCCTCTAATGTCTTAGAAACACTGGCACAAAAAAGACATTGATATTTTGAGAATATTATTGTGATTATGAGATTAACAAGAATGTGATTACCATTAGATTCTTATGGTGTACTGCATTTACAATATGTTAGTTACTACAGTTTTATGAATAAGGCCAAGGTTTCTACCAGTTACCTTCCAATTGTCATTATTAAATACAGCACCAACATTTTTTGTTTTCCACCTACTTATTGTAAAATATTCTGATACAGTTTCAGGTTTGTCTTCTGCACTTCTACACTGTTTTATCTAGAGTCTGTTCCCTGAAGCTGATAGAGGATCAATTAAAAGGTATTTAGAAGTGAGCTCCAAAACCCGTCTATTCTGATGAATGTCTCCTGCAGTAATGGTGACTGATGTGTCTGTCTTAGAAAACACATGCTCGTTTTCTCTCTCCAGTCTTTTCTCGTATATTTAAAGAGGGACTTTACTTGGCATACAAGGAAAAAATATATTTCTATTTGACATAAAATACAATTGAAGTAACTCCTGAGAGTTTCTCCTATATTATGTGCTTAGTCTCCAAGTAACACTGTGAGAACTGTCATATGTAAGATCTCCAAGATTTTAAACATTACACACTCTTCAAGATCGTAAATAACGTGTTATACATTGTGATGACCTTAATGCATGAATGGCTTAAAATTATTTTTCTAATCTTTTATAACAAATGCCATATAACATTTCAAAATAAATGCTGGTTAGTACTTGTATTGTCTTAAGGAGCTCTAAAACACTTAAAAGAGTACTATTTATAGAACGACACCACACGTTTAACAGTCAGTCGCATCGCATTTTCTAAAAAAACTATTCTTAATTTTGGATATAGACTGTCTTCGTCAGGCAAGGACGTCAGTGTCGAATTAACACTCAGCTGGAACACAGCAGGCACAAAACCGCCGCACGCTTGGTGAAGCAGGAAACAATATTCTACATTCAAGACAATATCATCCAAAAATGAAACCACAACAAAGTCTCCTTACCTCGTTGTCTATTAGAATCTCAGCCCTGGGGTCTCTGTGGGACAGCCTGGGTATGGGCTTGGTTGGGAAGGGGTACTTGCGGAGCTGAGACTCACTCCAGCCCGAACTCTGGACCCCGGAGAATCCGGTACCACCCTCGGTACCCGCAGGATCCGCTTCAGCCACGGCAGTTGCTGCTGCCATTTCTGAGCTCCGGAGATTCAGTTTTTTTTTTCACTTTGACACCCGTTCTTTCGGTAGGAAATACAACAAAACCAGATGATATCGGACTCTGTTACTTAATGCGTAGTCATTTCAAACCGCACGACAATAACTGCTACATGCAGAAGGTGTTTCCACCGCCGCAGCGCCAGGCAGGGAGACTGTAAACACACACACTGACTGCCAAAGAATCTGAAACCTGTAAGACAGGCCGCTCTGCGAGGGGCGCGCCAGCAGGACAGCGCCGTCTACCGGCGGGAGGAAAAATATACACTGATCCCGCTTCCCCGCATTGTGATAATTGTTGTCATTTCTAGTTTGGAATATAGTAAGTTTTTTTAAAAAAAAGAATTAAATCGTCTAGGGCACAGAAATTGTGATCGAATGGAAATACCACTTCTTAGATATTTTTATTGACTGTAGGATTACCTCAAGTGTTTTGAGTAATAGCACCATCTGAGGAGTGGTGGCAGTATGGTGCCAGGAGAACAACCTCTCTCTGAACATCAGTAAGACTAAGGAGATGATTGTGGACTATAGGAAACATCAGGGTGGAGACCACACACCTATTCACATCAATGAGACTGCAGTGGAGAGGATCAGCAGCTTTAAGTTCCTGGGAGTTAACATCTCAGAGGATTTAACCTGGACCCTCCACACCAACACCGTGGTCAAGACAGCACGGTAGCACCTATTCTTTCTCCGCAGGCTAAAGAAGTTGGGCATGCCGTCACATACTGTATCCAGGCCAACTTCTACAGGTGCACAATTGAGAGCATCCTGACTGGTTGCATCACTGCCTGGTCTGGGAGCTGCTTCGCAAGGGATCGCAAAGTACTGCAGAGGGTGGTGAAGTCAGCGCAGCTCATCACCAGTTGTGAGCTACCAAACATCCAGGATATCTACTCAGCTAGATGTCTGAAGATGTCCTGGTCCATTCTCAAGGACCCCAGTCATCCCAGTCACAAACTGTTTTCACTCCTACCATCTGGTAAACGATACCAAAGCATTCGGTCAAAGTCCAACAGACTACGGAACAGCTTCTACCTCCAGGCAATAAGACTGCTAAATAGCCAACCTGCAGCTCCATTAGCAAATCACCTGTAATGGCTACATGGACACACAGTTTTCACTGTATTCAGCATAACTGCACTACATGTATATATTGCATACACCATGGACACATAACAGCTCTACTCATATTTATTCAATATCAAAAATGTAACCTCAATTTTGTGATTTTTGTGTTTTTGTGATTTCTGTGATTCTTGTGATTTTTGTGAGCTCGCAGAAAAAGACAATTCATTGCCAGCAACTACTGCTGCACGCCGTGTTGTTGTGCATTTGATAAATAAACTTTGATTTGATTTGATCTATTGTTATCTTGAGTTGGTATCTGGAGATTATACTGTACGTTTAATAAACTGTCATCACCTGTCATTTGTCTGCATTGTAAGTGCAGTTATATATTAAACGTCATCCTTTCACTCAAATTAATAACTCTGGCCACAAGAATAATAATATTCTTTATTACGCAGATTTGATTATCAGGAGAGCAGAAATACTGTAAAAATAACACACACAGTAGTACATTTACACTTGACTGAAGTTTAGTCAAGCAGTACTTCTCTTCAGTGTTAACATTTGCAAACACACGTTTTAATGAAATATAATTCCAGATAGGCAGGGGAACTGCTGATAAACAATACCTCCCAATAAAAGTCAACCTGCTATGAACTCCCTCCCCAGTGATCTTCAGTACTGGGTTTTTTTTTAATCTTCCGTCCCTCTCAGGTTCCGTAGCCTCAGAGCTCGCGCATGCGTAATCGGTGTTTCCGAGCTGATCAGGCAACATGGCGGCGCAGGGTGTCCGCTGGGTCCGCACCCTGTCCAAGGGGAAATGGACGGGCGTGAGTGCGCTTGTGTCCGGGGCCAGGGCAGGTGGGCTTTCCGCTTACATATCCTGCATCTGAATAACTCCTGGAATGGGGGCGTTGTTTGAACGCTCAGAAATATACAAAAGGGCATTGCTTGGGTAGAAAGGAAGAAAACATCTAACCTTGGGAAATAATTGAATCATCGAAAATAGCTCAGTTTGGTATAGATGCACTAATCTTCAGATTTTCGGTGGCCACTTTTGTGTGAGTTTGCGGGAGGTTTAAGGTCACGAACAGAAATGTGTTCTATCTTACATCTTTAATGTCGCGTTTCTGATGACGACGTGTTCCAACCTTTCCAAGTTCATCGCTTCGCTCTGTTTACATTGGCGATGTTTTGCTTTTTTTTTTTGAAAGGGAAAGTATTTCCTTCTAAGTCTCAAAAATAAAAGTGTTGTTTTGGCTGTTGAGAACAATTTGGGTACACCTTCAAATATAAGTAGTATTGAACTGTTAAGGTTTAATAGTATTTCATCTTTTCAATCTAGTGGTAAATGTACCCTATAAAAAATACTGACATTTGTCTGGGTAGACATGATGATACGGGGTGAGACCTGCATGAGTGTTTAAGACGTTTTCTTGAACTATACCAATGTTCTCGTGTATTTCCACTCCAACATAAAACCCCAGATTTTTAGAAGATGTTATGAAGTTAGCAATTGACCCTTGACTTTCCATTCTGTGTTGAAACCTTTCTGCTGTTTACCGTTTGACAGCCTCTGGCGTATCTAAGGATATGCTGCCTGGACCGTACCCCAAAACCCCTGAGGAGAGGGCCGCTGCTGCCAAGAAGTACAACATGCGGGTGGAGGATTACAAGCCGTACCCCGATGATGGCATGGGGTACTGTGGTCCCTCTTTATCCACTATATGGGGAAATGGGGAAATGCTACTTTACCCAAGTTAGAGGTGGTGGTCGATGACCATTCACCTGCATTTATTATCAACTAAGCTTGACCGTTACCATAACCAGCTTTCCTAAAAACTAAGGTAATGTGTGATTGTGTGATTGTAACTACAGTAAAAAAAAGTGCTGTAGTTTTTTCAATTTATTTTTTCCACACAGTCTCAAACGTTAATTTTTGTGGTTCAGTTTTATGACATTAAAAAGACCAAAACTGGATACCCACCTCAAGGTGTGAAGATGTTTGCTTTCCATAGGGGAACTTTGTTAAATGCAGAACAGTTGAAACAGAGTGCATGCAGGTTTCTCCATTCTTAGGAGCATGTTCAGGAAAATACTCTGTAAGCTCATATAAATGTTGCCAGAGAGCAAAGGAACAATATTGCAATATCATTTTTCTGAGTGTGGCTTGATTTGTTTAGTTGCGGGCCCTGATTCCCATGTCATGGTGTTTGTTTTGCCTTCTGTGTAGGTTTGGTGATTATCCCAAGCTTCCCGACAGATCTCAGCACGAGAGAGATCCCTATTACACCTGGGACAACCCTGACTTCAGGAGGAACTGGGGAGAGCCGGTAAGGAGTGTGTGTCACTCGGCCTCCAGCTGGTGAGAACTCCCAGAGGGGTGTTTAAAACCTGATGTGTTCTGGCAAAAGGAAGATTTTAGGAACACTTAAAAACTTAATTGTCCATGGCAATATTGAGAAAAGTTTTTCTCTTCTTGAAATCCTCATGATAGTTTTATCTTGTTGCTATTTTTTGTAAAGCTGTGCGTACCTATGGTTTAGGTTTGTGTTAGCAGCATAAAACCTTGTGCCAGATTGTTCATCCTTATTATGATTTAACGAGTTTCCTGAAGGATACAGTGAATGTTTTGCATTTTCAGTGTTTATTTTACAATGAAATACCTTGTGAATTTCAAGTCCTTGCCTCTTCACTCTATCTCTGTGTAGTAAGCAGTGTACTCCTTGCCCTCTGAAATCCTAGCATTTTTTTGTTATTAATCATGATTATTGTAAACATTATCAACAATCTATTTTGTTGAAAATAATGTTACCTTTTAAGAACTGTTGAAAACAAATGGGCAATTAAATATCCAGCATATCCCTAAACCGCAGGACTGAAATGTGAGATAAATGGACTCTGGGATTAGTGATGACCTCACCATCACCTCTAAACTCTGCTTGAGAGATTCAGGTGAAACACTCAGTCCCCGTGACAATAAGCGAAAAGCAGCTCGGATCTTGATTGCTGTTTTAATGTTCTTAACTGGGGGGGGGGGGAATCATGACATCTTGTTAAGATTTCAAGGAATGTAACGAGACAAAACTATAAGGACTATAAATTTGCAGCACACACAGCTCCCTTTTTACTGTTCAATACTCTCTTTTTAGTTTTGACCAAGAAGTAAATGCCTTAAGCGTAAAACTGTATTTAGTTTGGGTAAAAATATTCCATGTGAAAGCAGATTTACTTAGAATGCATTCTTTTTATTTTCGTGATGATCTGTTTCTTTGAGGCCGCTAAGGGTGTGTGTGCTTCCTTACCAGATGCACTGGGATTTCGACATGTTCACCCGGAACCGAGTGGATACATCCCCCTTCCCGGTCCCCTGGCATACAATGTGTAAACACATCTTAGGATTTGTTGGCTTCATGCTCTTCATGTTCTGGGTTGGAGAGAAATTTCCCTGTTACCAACCTGTGGTGAGTTCGCTCTGGAGGAGCTAAAAAAATGAGATGATCAAAACTAATTTTCTTTAGGATTTACCAGGGTTCATATACAGGAGTTATATTGAGGAGGTTGGCTTTATGATCTTTTAATCGAATCATAAGGGTAATGTCCTACACTCACAAGATGAAGGAGTTGAGTCTTGGATTTTAGTCTTGAACAGAGAAGACTGCAGGGGGACTTTATATAAAAGTATTCAAAATCCTCAAAGGCATTGACAAAATCAACTCAGTGGACATCTTCAGAAATCTTCAGAAGTGCAAGACAAACCGCAGGACACAGGCAGGAAGTATTTGAGAATGGATTTAAAGCAGAGAACGCAGGGTTATTCTTCACCTTAAGGGTTGTGGGAGTGTGGAACAAGCCATGATGTTGAAGCCGAAATCCTTTCTTTCTAGAAATGGCTGAAAAAAGATCCTTGGATTCATCATTTATACTTTTGATTCTGTTGGGCTGACTTTGTCGATGCCTTTGAGGGAGAGGCACTGTCCACAACAATAATAAAAAGATGAGTCAGTGTAGGGCTTTCCTTGAAGCTGGGGAATGTACCTACTGTACTTTTCCTGCTGTGGACTGATAGTGACCAGACGTGCTTACAGTATTCTAGATAAGGTCTTGCCACTGCATGATTCGGTTTAAAATAACATCCCTTTAACAATTTAAATTCTACACAAGAAGGTCTATACCTGGTTTACAAACTGTCGTCATATGTTTAGTAATTCAGCTGTTTTCTGCTTTTTCAGGCTCCCAAGCAGTATCCTTACAATAACCTCTATCTGGAAAGGGGAGGGGACCCCAGCAAGGAGCCAGAAGAAGTGAAACATTATGAAATCTAGTGTTTAAACTGAGT